TTACACAGCATACAAAAAGTTAAGACACCACATGAAACCACAAGACAAGACACCACACGACAAAAACACCACCACCATGAGACGCGTCAGCCCCCTTATTTTAAAGAGACACCAAATTCCTTCGTTTCCCAAAAGACACATCTTTTCATTCCATGAGACAAATCTCTTCATTCAAAAGCCTTTCCCAAGTTTTTAGATACATTGATCCACTCTTTCGATTTACTTAGAGCCTTCTTAAACATCTCAATATAGTCAAAAACCACCAAAAAACCGTCCATAACCGTCTTTGGTGCCTCTGACGTCAGTTCTTGCAACTCTGATGCCTATTCTTTAGGTTTTGGCTCATATTCTCTAGATTCTGGCTCTTCTAGCACTATTTTTGGTGCCACTGCTGCCACCCTGCAGCAGCTCGATCGTTTCGCTCCATTTGGCTTTGTCTTACCCCGTTTCTGTTGTATTTTGTTTCTAACAGTTATACCTACAAGATAAGCATGAAAACAACATTTATTTAAAGTGTAATTTCATTCAAACATATGTGATGAATGTAAGGAAAATTAAGCATTAAAAGATGCATCGAAATATATCAGGTTAGAATTTTCTTTCTTGCTCGTTTTTATTCCAAAGTGCACCATTTTTGCTTCCTTCTCTCCAAAAGTTCATTTCATGTTCATGAAGCCAAAAATATACAAAATACGTTTCTTTAAAGTGTAATATCTTTAAAAATGAGCATAAAATATATATGAAAAAGTAGGAAATTTTTAGGTGTCTCACTGGGTTTGTTGAGCTAGAGCATACAAAAGCACCTTACGGTTGGACCGTCTGATGGACCCAACCTTTTATACACGTCTTCAGTATTTTGATCAACTCAGTTGATCGTATACATCATCTTGGAAATTATGGTGTGTTGATTATGGTCTTCGTTTATCTGTTATGGCCAAACAGATATGAGGTTGTTTTAATTCTCATGGATTGTCCCTAATGAAATCTAGGGAAATTTTCCTCAAATGGGCTTTTTAGTCAGGTACTTCAAAAAAATATCTCCTATAGGTTAGACTATAAACTTTACTTAAAGATGCGGGCCACTTTACTAGTCCATATGTAATCCCCAAAGTGATCATTACGATGTCGTGTGTGAAAGCACCTGAAGGTTGGATTGTCTCATGCGACAAACCAACTTTGATTCCTCTATGGTATTTTGACTGACATGATCAACTTTGCTCTTCATCTCAAAGTGCATGTCACACTAATTCAAGCCCTTTGTATCCTCGATTAATCTATGAATATGATGGGTATCTTTATGCCTATAGAAAATCTCTAGTAGGGATCACACAAAATTCCTAAGGAGGATCACCTAAAATCTCTAGTGAGGGTCGCTTCGGTAAAATCATGCAAAAGTGTTACAAGGTTGGATTGCTATAAGAATCCAACTCATTTTCAAACCTCTTCTGATTTTCTTAAGCTTGTTCACCATGTCAGAATGAGATGTTTAAATTCCCACAAAGCATTGGCGGAGCCTGAAGGGTATCACCAAACAGAGTCTTCCCATGGGTACATTAAAAAATCACCTCTCAAGCAATTCCTTTGACCTGGTTGATCCTACTCGCCATGTCAAGTCACATTTCATACTAATTTAAGCTTCATGCTAACCTAATTAGTCCATGCTTAAGCTGGGAATTTTCATGCCCGCAAAGCCCCCCGATAAGAGCCACCTTGCTAAAGTCTGCAAGGTGTTACGAGAAGTGATTCAGTTTGTACACTCCCTTATTCGATATATATCCAGATAGGTTGATTCTCACCACCTTTACCTCCTGATATGCCATCAGATTACTTCAGTTAGTCGACCAATCCATTTCCGATCATGATGTTCTGATATCCAATGATACCATTATGTTGTATGCGATGAAAATTGATTTGCTTGTTCCTACTAGCATGACTTGGATTTCTAAATCTCTTTACCCATCTAGCATATGATGCCTCTTAAATAATACAACATTATATTTAGTTTGTTCTTATGGGAATCTCATCTCATGATGATTCTATGGCTCTATAGCCACCCACTATGATTTTACTTAAGCCATATGACCTTAGATTCAGCTTTATTATGAAGACATCTTGTCTTTTGACATCTTCGTCTTTACCGCCACCTATTTCAGTGCTTCCCAAACCATGTAAGATCCTAGTCGGTTCCTCTATGAGAGAACGATAGATGACTTGGGTCATTTGAAATGATATAGCCTTCTCAACTATCCTTACTTTTTAGTTTGTGGCCAATTGCATCTCAAGTTTAGACGCGTCAGGTGTTCTAACCATAGGATTGAGCTATGGGTGTCTCACTCAACGGGAAACACAACAAGATGTGGTTTCTTATGATGGGACATATCAAATGACTCGGGTTACATGAGATAACTCAGTTGTCTTACCATGCACACCCCTTTAGGTAGAATGTAAGTCCCACGACATTTCTCAGTAGGTATTTGAGGTCACATTCTTTAGTAAGATCTCAAGATTAGATGTTAATTCTAGTGGTTACCCTCCTGATACGATCACTTCCTACAACATTCAAGTTGGATATGAGTCTTTCGATATTATTTCTCTAGGTGTCTCACTCGTCGAGAACCACATCAATACGCTTGGTAATTTTTTTTAACAATTGGACACATCAGATGACTTAGGTTGCATGAGATAAACCAACCATCTTGACTTTCGCGCCCCCTTAAGGTAGAATGTAAGCCCCTCATAAATTTTCCTTATTGTAGCAGGTATTTGAGGTCATAAACCTTAGTCTGATATAGGGTTTGGACGTGAATCCTAGCATTTTTCCCTTCTGATATGATCACTTCTTTTAACATTCAAGTTGGAAATAAGCCTTTTTACATTCCTACTCTATGTGTAAATAGATGAACTAAGTCATAAAAGATGACTGGCCCATTTCAACTACTTATACTATTCAGTAACTAAACTAGTCACAGTTCTAGTCAGAATCCACTAGGCTTCTCAGCCTTCTGACTAAACTTTGGGTGTTTCGTTTAAAGAGAACCACAAAAGATGATTGGTTGATTTTCTATTAGGAGACATATCAGATGAATCAAGTTACACAACATAACCCAACCTTCTTACCCTGCGTACCCTTTAAGGTAGAATATAAGTCCCTTGGCATTTCTCCTTATTATTGCAGATAATCGATCTCTTATGCTTTGTCCACCTCTGGGTCAGGCCTATACGGCCTCCAGACCCATATTTTAGGTCACACCTCTATGTCCTCTTAACCTACCCTGCATGTTCATGCCTCTACGAACCTTGGACCACTGTGTTGTGTCAAGCCTCTACGACCCCTAAACCCATTCTTATGATACATATCTAAGGACTCTAAACCTATCTTACGTGGTCATGCCTCTATGTCCCCTGGACCACCGTATTGGGTCAAGCTTCTATAGCCCCTAAACCCATTATTAGGTCATAACACTATGGCCTTTGAACCTACCCCATGTGGTCATGCCCCTACGACCTCTAGACATCCCCCTCAGGGTCATGCTTGTACAACCTCTGAACCCACCTTTTGGGTTGGATGTAAGTCCCATGTACATTCCTTCTCACCCTTTAGGAGTGGATATGAATCTCAGAGCATTCTTTCCAAGGGCATTTAGCTCTTTTTTGTCACTTGGGTCATGTAGGTTACACAACTAACATTAGCTTGATTAGAACTAAAGCAACTACCAATAAGTGCATTGTGCCTTACCCACGCAACACACTTTATGGGACTCCTTTGTTGGCATCAATTTTTGATATAAAAATTGTAAAGTGTCCACTTTTATGACTCAAGATAGTATACGGTTCATCTGTAGTGTCTCGTAGCTTTAGACACCCACCTGGAACTCTCTAGCACTTGTTCAAGGAAAGGGGATAGGATGGATGGATAGCACTTGTTCAAGCCAAGGAAAATCATGGACTCCTCTTATGCTTGCTACTGAAAAATTAAGGTTTGGGACACCCTACCCATGTCGTAGTTTAGGGAAACAATTGACAATGATTTCACCATAGAATTGTTGATCAAAATACTCAATTCTAAATTTATGGGAATACCTTTCATTCATATGGAGACTCCCGTAGCTTACAGATCAAACAATCTTTCGTTGGTCACTCCCACTTAAAACAATGGTTTTCAAAGCTATATTAACGCATAGGCATTAACCCCAAGAGTCTGGGCACCCTAAATGTCTTACTAGACATATAAGCTAAGCATCTCAAAGTCTAGTACTAGGAGCCTGGTGCCAAGATGCCAACCTAGCATCTAGGCACTATGGTCTAGGGGCCTAGGCGCCAGTCTCTTCCGTGGTCATGGAAAATAGCCATTTTTTGTACCATTTTGACTCCTAAGGCAGCCAAAATTATATGTGGGTGATGATGGTCCTTAATGATGGGAAAAAAGGATGAAAATTACTCTTTTAGCCCAACTTTAGAAGCTTCTTAAGGATATAATGGGGATATATTGGTCAATTGGTTGGGGTGAGCTGTGCTTAACCGATGCAGACTCATTTCCCCCAAAGGACCGACTCTAATTTTCCTATCAGCAGGCTGAAGATAACGTCCGACACATTGGCTTGCTAAACAAGGATCTTTATCTGCTGAAGTTATTATCGATCGCGTACCATCCCCATCACTTCAACCTTTGCTAAATGGTGACTCATTGAGATTACCTTATATTTGATGTCGAAACCAACAATGTAGTTACATTTTTACAGGTTTACTTGTATGTTTTGAAGTAATTTCTGCGTACATTGTAATGCGGTGGAGGATCCATAAGTTTTTTTTGTTTAATTTGTATTTTGGAACCTCCACCCCTTATCTTTTTTACCATATCAATAAAATTCCCTCTCAAATTCTTTATATATATATATATATATATATATTGGAAGCTTTGACATTTTGATGTAAATTTTTTTCGGTTGTAATATATATATATATATATATATAACTCTTATTTTTGCTGGGCAAGAGCGCAATACGAAAAAGAAGCCTGCTTCATTCACACAACTTGCTTTGAAGGTCAGAGCCATATTCCTGTAACGAATACAAGCATTTCGGTTCCAAGCTCACATTTCATGGGCATTTTTTACTATGAAAACTTGGCAAAATAAGTAACATCTACGCATATTCACAGCATCTGAATATTTCTAAGTTTAGAAGGCATGGAATTACAGCTGAAGCTATCTGAAAGTATGCTGATTGCTCACTTTCTTTTATACTCATACACGAAGTTTTGAAGAGATCTTATCTCTTTCCTTGAAGACTCGATTAAGTGGTCAACATAGAGGCATATACTGGCAGCACTGTAAGCATCGGACAGATACAGATGTTAACAAATAAATTCTTCAATATCTAATTGTGAATGTACACAACTACTGAAAAAAACTGATGGCAGGATGGAAATACTAATAATGTATAAATATTTTTAGATTTTGATGCAGATATAGTGGGGAAAAAGAACCACAAAATACCTCAAAGGTCCAAAGGGAAGCCAAAGTATATCCCAACGGAATTTTGGCAAACTGTTCAATGAAAGTAAGAATGATAGGAAAAACGGCTGAGCAAACCAAAATATATGAGCAAGAAGTCAGAAAGAAATTTAAAGAATACAAACTAAACAGCACCGAGTCCAGAGGCAGACTTGGATAAGAGAATTTACCTTAACATGAAATATGACCAAAAGACAGCAAGCACCAGCCCTACATAAAATGAGTGCCATATCAACTGTTGATTAGATCTTGAGCATTGGAGCATTCCCATCAGCGCCAATAAGCAAGCTAGGATGGCAACCATATCTGTGCTACACAAGCTGATGCGTTGGCATAAAAGACTTCAAAGATGATTAATCACGCAGCTAAGATATAACCTACATGCTAGTGAAATGTCAAAGGTTATCAAGAGAAATGAATGAAAAAGTTATAGAAGCTAGAGACGATAGCCACCATTATAATGTGGAAACTCTTGCTTACTTGACACTACACTCAGATGTCTCTTTGCACATTTGTCACTATATTTAGGTCATAAAGCGCATAACTTCAAGTAGACGCCCTAGCATTACATAATGATTTTGTCATGATTTTTTTCGACAAAAACTTTACATTGGTTATCGACTACTTAACACAACCCTCCATTTTTCTCATCTAGAACTTAAGACCTGACAATGACAATATTCTTCTAATTAAATAACTGACAGAAGAAATTGTTTACAGAATAAGATGAGCAAATACAAAATAGGTATTAGAAAAACATTTTATCTTGTGTTATGTTTATTTATTAAATTATTGTCGCAACTAGATATTTTTATTATTTTGTTTGAATGATATATTAGAAATTGTGTTTTAGTTTATTGTTTGGATGATCATTGTGAATTATGGTAAATGCTGTGGTAAAACAATAGCGTCCTACTTTTCATTCACGTCTTGAAAATGCAAAGTTACTGGGCTGAATCTTGACATTCTCTTTCTAACAAAAAGGTATAAGCCTTAATAGCATAAAAAGATTCATATAAATTAATAAAGCACTTCTAATACATCATGCATTTAAGACAAGATCTATAGGATGCTATCTTATCCCAGGGTGGAAAGTCTTCGCTCATTTTGAAAAATGTTTAGTAATTGTACCCATATTGCTATGACTGCTTTTAAGTTAACTTTCATGCTGATGAAAAAATCAACTACGAGATATTAGTGATTTCTAGTATCAAGCTACATTGACTGTAAAATACAATTTTGCTTACATTTTTAAGACTGGAAAAGTTAATAACTATGGTTATCCTCAAGGGCATCTTGTATACTCTTTGTTTAATTGTAAGCCAAATATTGCCAAATAGTAGTTTGAAGTTAAATCAAACATGCATTTTTTTTTAAAAGTGTTTGGTAATTGTTCTTTCTAAATGTGTTTCCACTTTTAATTCCAAAAGATGAACTTCACCATGGCATATGACTAGGCCTCTCGGAGACTAATATGGTTATTATTAGCATCAATTTTTGATATCGCATGAGTAGGGTATCCACTTGCACGGCTTAAAGCAATCTATGGCTCGTTTGTAGCATCTAATAGCACAAGACACCAACCCGGGACTTTCTGGCACTTGTTCGGGGAAAGTAGCTAAGTTCGGTGGCAATTCAGCCCTATCAGGGAAAATTCTCTCCGAAAGGCCCATCCAGAATGTGAGGCATGGTTGGTGCCTTGATGATTAGAAGTCACGTCCATCCAGAGCCTCCCATGGCCATAGAAAATCATAGAGTTTACTTACGTGCGCTACGGGAAAATTAGGGTTCATGACACCTTACCCACATCGCAGTTTAGGACAACCGTAAATATTCATTTCTCAGATAAATGACCGACGAGAATACATCATTTTGAAATTATAAGACTGTATTTCACTCACATAGAGTCTACCATAGCTTCTGGATCAAAAAAATCTGTTGTTAGGCGCTCCCGGCGAAAAACGGGGTTTTGGACTAAACCGAAGCCCATGAGTCATCCCGGGAGCTCACGGTCCCAAAATACCTTTCTGGACCGTCGAAGATACAGGACGCCAAGGTGCCAAACAAACCAAAAATCATCATTTTCCCGAGAGCTTGGTGCCTAGGCGGCGCCAAGGCCTCAACATGCATGGCTAGGGCCTTGGAGCTAGGGTGAGTGGCGATTTTAGGCCTCAACATGCATGGCTAAGGCCTCAACATGCATGGCCACAGTCAGTTTCTAGGCACGATTTTAGGCCTTTTTTTTACGCCGTTTCGACTCCCAAAGCCATCGTTTTCGCAGGGATTTCATTCATCAGCCTGGGGAGTGGGAAACGGTGGTGTGAAAGGACACTTTTGCCCTCACTTTAAAAGCTTCTTGAGCATCTATTGGGGGCCTTTGTGGTCATTTTGAAGGTGCTCGGTTGGCTTAACCGAGCAACCTCTCCCATTCGTAGAGGGATGCCATTTTGCTGCAGAGGAGCCGAGGAGTGCAAGGGAGCTTTTGGAGAGTGTGGTGAGGTTTCTTCCTTGGAGAGCTAGGGTTTCCCTTCTCCACTACTTCATTTTTCACCTCCTCCTTCTCCATTACCTCTTCTTCTTGGAAAATCATCTTCTTCCTTGAGGGCTTGGAACTTTGGAGTTTTGCTTGATGGGGAGTGCAAGAGATTGAACTATTCTCCACCTCTTCTTGTAGGTTGTCCTTCATCCTCTCCGGCGAAGGTTCCGAGGAGCACGCCTAGGCAAGCGACATCCTAGCTTGGGGAAGGCAAGTACGGCGAACTTCAGCGAACTCCAACGAACTCTCTGACTAGGAGAGATTCTTCCATTCTTTGGGAAGGACTTATGGGCTTCTCATACCTTCTAGGAGAGATTCATTTTGAACTCTGGTTGAAGTAGAGCAAACTCCACGGTGGTTAGATTTTCTTCTCCTTTGCATTCCTTCCCATAACTAGCCTTAGGTTTTAATTGTGGTAGGCATGTGGGTCCGATTACCCACACGGAGTGCGTGCTCCTGCCGCTGTTAGCCAGCGCAGTCATGTGCCTATGTGATGGATCGTTGATCTTCCTAGAGTGAACCTTTAAGTTAGGGTTTTTCATGCATGGCCAAACACCCTTCGTAGAGCCGAGTGAATCCCTTTGTTGTGAACATAGTCTCTTCTCCCCCTTGCTTTGAATTCCCCAATTTTCTTGGAAAAATTAAGAGATTTGACTTGGCAAAGTGAGAAAAGCTTTGTAGCTAGCTCACTTTGCAAAAACTTGAGGAGTTTGTGAAATAGAAAAAACTTTGTAGCTAGTCTATTTTACAATGTCGTGGACTGTTTCTCCATTGAAAATCAGGGGAGAAACTCCCCACACACTTCGGAGAAGCGGGAGGCGGCAATGTCGCATATCCAAGAGAAAAACCCTAGGTTCCTAAGCGAGGATGTTAACACGACCATGGTTTGCCATCGAGCATGTTTGCTTGCCTTGGATTATGTCATGTGTATCTTGCATGGGTTATCTTGCATATTGCATTTGCACTTGCACCATTTGAGCCTTGATTGGTTGTCTCAGACCGGTCGGAACAAGTTGTGCCTCAATCGATCGTCCCAGACCGGTCGGCACCACTTGTGCCATGAATGGCCATCCCGACCCAATTGACACAGCACTTTGGTTCGACCGATTATCTTGTCATAATCGATCAACCACTTGCACTATTCCATGTTGTGCATGTGCACGTTCATGTTTGCCTACTTGCATGTTGCACTGCATCATGTATGTGTTTGCCAACATGATCAATGTCATTTGCTTGAGCCGCACATCCCTTTAGGTCACTATCTCACCGGCATACCCTTTTCGGGTCGTTGCCGCCAAGGCATGCCCACCTATTAGGTCACTGTCTCACTGGCATATCCTTTTCAAACTGCTGCCGCCACAGCATGCCCATCCCTTTGGATCATTATCTCATCGGCATACTCTATTTGGGCCGCTGCCGCCACGACATCTCCATCCCTTTGGGTCACTGCCACCTCAACATACCCACTTCGGGATGCTGTCGTCACGACATGGCCATTCCTTTAGGTCACTGCCACATCAGCATACCTTTTTCGGGTCGCTGCCGTCACAGTATGCCCATTTTTTCCTGAGTCATTATCTTCACGGCATAGTCTTCGTCACCACTTATGTCATTTGATTGCTTGCATTTACATTTATATGCTTGTATGGATAGCGAGTCAGGCTAGACAGGAGAGTGACTCATATGCAAAGTCATTATCTTCATGGTTGCGATGTCTTAACAGCATTGTTTGTTGGGTTGATCCCCATAAGCAATACAAGTTAAGTCATCGGGATTGACACGAGTATGACAATGCTAATGATCCATGGAATCTAACTCATGTAACCCTTGCATGTTACGAGCCTGCATTTAAGGACTCTTATTTTAAACTAAAAAAAATGTATTTTACTTATTACGCTCGTCATATTTTAAAACTATGCATATATCAGAGCTAGGCCAATATAAGGCCAACCCTTTAAAAAACATCTTGGATGACACCTTTTAGATCCTTTAGACACTTAGGATGGGGTCAGCGCGATGACCCCATTAAAGTTATACCAACTCGAAAACTTACTCTGCACTTAGATGCTGGTTAGGACATTTATCATTAGATGGTGTGCTGAGCTAGGATTTAGGATGCTAGGTAGTATTTTTTGGATGTCTCTGGCTATTGTTTTGTGCTGTGTTGCTTTATGCTAGCCATTTGTCACATTTCAACTTTTTCATGGGCTAGTGTGCTTGATATGTCTGATAATATAGTGGAGTGTTCTTCTGTAGGGAGTCATGCCCATACTTGCACATACACAGGTACTATTATAAGTCTGCAATGATTTCTAATATTTTTGCTTGCAGGTGCTATTTAGCTCCCCCAATTATAAAGCACACCTCGTTATGTGTATTACATAGCTTTCTCAACTAACTCTCGTTTTATCTAGGTTGAGTCTCTTTTCTCTTTTAATGTAATTGATAGTCTTTAGGTCGAGCCTGTATCGGAAATAAGATGCAAACACGGGTTTCGAGAGAGATGACGCATCGAACCACATGACAGGTATCAGAAGCGGTAGCTCGTATCCTGTACCTTAAGTCCAAATTTCTATACTTTTGTATAGATCTAGGATCAGACATGTATATGCAGAATCCGACTGCTTTTTCTGCTTTCCTGATATATGTTACCGACCTAGCGGCATTTTGGTCTCTTTTATATATATTCTTTCGGAGTGCATTCTTTTGAGTGCCCGCTTGTCGAATTGTCTCTATTGTTTATCTCTACGCGTCTGGGATCTCACAGAAA